AAGAAGAGAGCACTGGCTTCCTCCTCACAGGCTGTGTGCACACCCAGCAGCTCCTGGAGCGTGTCTGTGGGGAGCCTCAGTCGCTGGGCCATCTGCTCACTGTAGTGGTCAGCTGCCTTCTGCACAGCTGCTGACTTCTCACGCTGGGCCAGAGTTGTCACCGCGTCATCCAGACAAGGCACAGCTCCACTGCTGATGGCATCCACGTAGGTCGTCACTAGAGTCCCCAGTCCTTCAGGAGCCAGGAGTTTTAGGGGATAAATATGAAGTTATAAGTGAATGGGATCCAAGATTTTAAGGTTACATTTCTAAATCTCTCACAGCTACACATGCACACTCATACACACACACACACACACACACACACACACACACACACACACCTCCTTCAGTAAGCCAGCAATTTCTTTTTTATATTGTTTCTTTGTTTTTGTGGTTTTCTACTTCACGATGTTAAAAATTGATATCAGAGCCAGGCGGTGGTGGTGCACGCCTTTAATCCCAGCACTTGGGAGGCAGAGGCAGGCAGATTTGTGTGAGTTCGAGGCCAGCCTGGGCTACCAAGTGAGTTCCAGGAAAGGTGCAAAGCTACATAGAGAAACCCTGTCTGGAAAAAAAAAAAAAAAAAAAAAAAAAAAAAAATGATATCAATCTTCACCTAATAAATTATTCTGTCTATGAAAAATCCAATTTTGCATTTAAATCTTTAAAGGAAAACAGATTGTATAACAAGGAAAATATTTCATATTTCTTAAATGTGTGTATTAGCACAGTTTAAACACTAGCATTTATGTTGGTACTATTTAAATTTCCAAATTACATTTCACATTGTCATTCTAAAGAACAATTAATATATAAGACATCCCCCATGAAAATAGAATATATCAGCTTTAGTGCTTTAAACACTGATTTTATAGTTAATTAACTACCTTTTCACTGGTGACTTTATTATCAGTTGTAAATTTTATATAGGTATGTTATAGCAATAGATACTAGTGATGAAGTCTGCATTCCAAAAGAAGGATTTGTAATCTACAATTAATTATAAATCATATAGATTTTTCAGAGAAGGGACACCAGAATATTATCATATTATAGATAATTAAAAAAACATACACATGCTAATAAGTTCAACATATACTACTCTATACAGAAGTATGTTTTTAAAAAAATGAAAAAAAAACTCACGGTTCCCAGTGACCTCAATTCCCTCTCTGAGGGTCTTGATCTTTGCATAGGTGAAGATGTAAGAAACAAAGGCCCTTGTTTGTTCCTGGAACTTAGGCTCCAGTTGGTCTTCTGAGATAGTCTCAATTTTTTGTAAGAGTTCTTTGTCATTCGTTGGCCGGTCAAAGACAAAACACTTCCATTTAGGAAAGAAATGTCGGATGCACTCCCTGGGCAAATTGGATGCTTGGACTCTGGGATGGTTGCCTAGTGTCAAGGGGGGGGGGGGACAGAAAGCAATGGGAATAGTCTCAGAGCAGAGAGCAAATGCTGGAGGCTCTTGTCTATGTGAAGTGTTCTGCACTCACAGGTCTCTTTACCATAAACATGCAACACTTCTTTGCATGTCAAAAGTATACCAAGTTTGTATGTAGACGAAATTCTAAATGGTCTTATTAAATAAGAAACACAGAGTCAAATACAGAGCTAAAGCCAAAGAGATCAGAGCACTAGCGAAGAGCCAAGACCACCTGATCTTAACACCTGGCCAGCGTCGCTTCCCCAGGAAACGAGCTTCTCCCTGTGTGACTTGTCTTTTTATTGCCTTTCTGTTCTGCATTCTCATTGGCTCTAAACCCAGCCACATGACTTCCTCATCACTGCCTGTCTATACAGAACTCCTGGTCTCTATGGTTAGTACTGAGATTAAAGGTTCATGTCACCACACTTGGCTGTATCCCTGACTACACAGAGACTCTGCCTGCCATGTGATCAGATTAAGGGCATGGGCTATCAACACCTGACTTCTGTTCCTGGCTCGCTAATGACCTCTGATCTCCAGGTAAACTTTATTTATTAACATACAAATAAAATCACATTTCAGCACAATTAAAATATCACCACATTTGTACGTGGTAGAAATCTGGTGAAATATTTCAGGAGACACTTGACTCCACTGGAAGAGCTTATGGCTGAAATCCACAACCTGAACATGGCAGCAAGCATACTGTAGTTATGTGTCCTGTTGACCGAATGGCAAAAGGCTGAATGTGATTTCTGGCCCAGTCATTCTTTGTAGCAAAGGAGCTGTGTGACTCAAAAAGAGAAGCTACAAGTAAAGGGTAATAGAATACCAGAAATAGCAACAGTGGCAATTCTAAGAACGATGACATGGTTACTGAAGGAAAATTACTTTGACGCTGAAAGAATTCATTTTTTGTGAATTCCAAATATACACTCATCAAAAACAAAAGTGTTCTTCACAGCTGGGGAGGGAAGGTGGGACTCTGAACATATGGAGGATATGTGAGTGTAGAGATCTGATGTGCAACATTCAGACAGTACTTCAGGAAACTGCCATATTGGAGATTTTCTCCCTTTCTCTCATGTGGATATGTGTGGTGTATGTATGCATGTTTGCCTGTGTCTGGGTATATGTGTGTGAAAGGACACATGCATGTGTCTGCATGGGGAAGCCAGATGTTGTCTTTAGGAGTCTTTTTCAGCTACTTTCCACCTTTTCAATGAAGCAGGATTTCTCACGTGAAACTGGGACTCTCCAATACAGCCAGTCTGGCTAGCCAGCACGCTCCAGCGCTTTTCTGTGTCATCAGCCTGTGTACTGGATTGGAGGTAGACTATCATACCCACCCCACATTTATGTAAGTTCTGGAGATCATACCTCCAGTCCTCACACTTGGGTGACACGTGCTTTAAGCACCAAGTCATCTCCCCAACTCATGAATTAGGGATTTTTATTGAATCCATTTTGACTGTTCATTTCATGAAAATTAACAATATGAGATGATAGATGTACCATCTGCTTCACTGAAGTAACTGCCTTAGTACCTACATGTGTTCTAACTCATCCAGTTACAAATGCTCAAGAAGGAAAATAAAATGCTGTTAACCTTTATATCAAAAATTATGAAAAGGATTTTGATGAGTTTGAAGCTACCATGTCTATATAAGGCATTTCAGGCTAGCACAGTCTACACCTTGATCTCAAAAAGAAAAAGAAAAGCAAACAAATAAACCAAAATTGTAGAAAGAAAGAAAGAAAGAAAGAAAGAAAGAAAGAAAGAAAGAGAGAGAGAGGGGGAGGGAGGGAGGGAGGGAGG